CGAAGTCCAAACAGGTCAAGACCACAGCGGAATTGGCCCCAGGAACCGGAGCCAACGACTCTGGAACCGACGGTCCCAGAACCAATACCCTCGGAACCAACGAGTCGGGAACCGATGGTACGGAGGACAAGCCGACAGCCGCGCCCCGACTGCCAGGCCTCTAAAGAAGACCCTGAAGATGTTCGCGCAGAACGATGGAGGAAGATTTGCTCTCACCAGGCACACGACCCAGGGCTAGCGCCCTAGGTAAAGTTCCCCCAGGGCGAGACCGAGCAGTTGTCCCAGAGACAAACCACACACTTGTGCACCAGTTTGTGTTGGACTCTCGGGACGCTGTTCTATGTGAGTCGTAACACCCCCGAAACGTCCCCGAGACACCGCAGACCTCCGCCTGGTAGTACCCTGGGATCTCCAGGAGGACATTCTGCACCACTGCCACGTGGACTTCCAAGGTGCTCATCAGGGGATTATCCAGCCCTATGAGAGGCTGCGCAAGGAGTTCTACTGAATCGGCTTGTTCAAAGACACCGAGCGATACGTCAAAGAATGCGTTGACTGTGTCACGGCCAAGGGACTACCCCGGAACCCGGGCCCGTCGCCCGGTAACCTGTTAGCCACGCGACCGTTTCAGGTCGTCTCCATGGACTTCGTGATACCGCTGCCCCGGTTCGCCCGGGGAAATACGGCATTTCTTCTGTTCCAGTGCGCGTCCTCGGGGTTCATCATGTGCAAGGCCATGGCGAGCACCGAAGCCCAAGACGTGTCCGAAGCCTATGAAGAGTGCGTGTTCCGGAGGTTCGGGGCCAGTGAGATGTTCCGTCACGACCGAGACCCGCGCTTCATGGGTCGGGTGTTCAAGCACTTTCGGGAGATGCTCGGGAGCAGGCAACACGCCACTCTAACCTATCGTCCCCAGGCCAATGGACAACAAGAGCGGTCGGTGCAAACGGTGATCCGCAGTGTTTAAGCATACATACAGAATGTGGATCAGCGTGACTGGGACGAGCTAGCCGAAAAGCACATGTGGGCGCTGAACACCTATTTCGACTTCACCCGACTCGACACGCCGTTCTACTTGGTACACGGCCGGGACGCCCAGAGTACCGTCGAAGTCATGATGGGAGACGTCCCCCGAGACGTGCAGCTTTTGGACGCCCAGTAATGGCGTACAAAGGTGCAAATCCAGGTGGAATATGCGAGAGCCTGGGCCCGGGACCTCCAAGCAAAAGACAAGAAGCGCCGGGCCGAGGACCATAACCGCAAGTGGAAGCAGCTTACAGACCGACTCAAGGAGGGTTTAAGGTCGGGGACTCGGTATGACTGTACCTAGCCCGAGTCCGTCCCGGACTCACCAAGAAGCTCGCACATCTCTGGCACGACCGGTTCCGGATCCGGGAAAAAAGGTAGCCGATACCGCCTCCAGGCCGAGGGTACAGAGTACCGGTTTCACCCCTGGGTCCACGTCAGCAGGCTGATGCCCCGAGCCAGATAACCGGAGCGGCCATCGGGAACCATAGACATATCCGAGGACGACGACTGCGACGCTGCGTTGCTCCGTGAAGATAGTTGGGAACCTGATAAGGGTTCCAGGGAATACGAGGTCGAAGGTATACTTGATGTGCGTTGGGTCATCCGGACCCGCACCAGCCGGCTCTTTAAGGATTACTTAGTGAAATGGAAAGGCTGCGAGGCTCCAGATTGGATTCCCCAAGGACGCCTCAACTGCGGGAGGCTGCTGTACGAGTTTGACCAAGGCGAGCGAGCCCGCGTGTGTTTCCAGGCCATAGAGTATGGAGACAAACTTCCGAACGAAGAAGTCCGGTAGAGCCCTGGGGCGTGGACCCGGAGCCTACCACAGTAGTGGGTCCTGGAGTGTCCCCCAGAGACGTCATGTTCCCAGGTGAGAATACTCCCCAGAACAGGAGTGAAGAGCATGTTTCCAGGGGTGTGGACCCGGGGCCCACTGCCAAGTGCGCACTGGCGTGTCCCCCAGAAGCCTTGTGTCCCAAGATGGTCTAGGACGCAAGTGATTGCATGTTTGCATGACATACATGTTACCAAAGGGAAGACATGAAGACTTGCAGACAAAAAGATAAGACCACGACGAAGCAAACGCCAAGATGTATTGAAAAGCTTAAGGCCTCGGGGACCTGGGGTAGGACACTCAATCTGCGAACTCTGCCGGCAAGGCGTCAGGGAGAGGAATTAAGATGCGGACATCAGGGTCGGAGACCACAGTCTTCCAAGTGTCCGGAATCACACTCTCTTCCACGTGCGCGTCGGCCCCCGGAAGACCTCAGTAGACGCGTGCAGGCTCGCGACAATCCACGTCATGGGGTTGGTCGCGCAGAGACAGAGTGGCGTTCCCGCGCGGCAAAAAATCAAACGGCAGGCAGCCGAGTCTGACGCCAGAGTCCTGGCTCGCACCGAAACCAATTTTTCCCGCCCCGGGAGTCTGCCGATCTTGGCTCGTATCTTCTCCAGTGCGCGAAACTAGCTTTGCTGTCGGGAAGAACGCGCAAAGTAGATAGCCTTTTGAGCCTCTGCCGTGCGATCCAAAGGGACCCAATGGCTTCGTTCCCAGTACGCTCGACGGTGAGTGAACATCAACAGCACACACTCCGCCGCGACGTCCAAAAAACCTTCGCTGAAGCCAGCCGGGAACTCGTCTGAAATTTCTTGGCAAGCAAACAAGAACATAGTCTGGCGATCCCGAAACATGGTGTCCCAAGGTGCGTCTTCGCCGGGAAGGGAGCCGTCTACCCGATTTACGTAATC